TAATGATATGGAAATCTACAAGGTTTTAAAGGAGTTTGTAGTGGAAAAAATGGAAGGTCCTTGAGGAAACAGTTTTAAAGGTTTAAAAATGAAAGAGTAAAATGTTGTTGGAGTTTGTTAAAAATGATTATTATCCATTGTTGGGAAGGAAGGCAGTAATCTCTAACTGTAGCCTGGAAAATAGTACTTTTAGTAAACTCAGATTTTCTTAGGGAAATTTCTCGTGAGACAATAGAAAAATGACACCAATGGTAAAAGGATATAAAGGGATGATTGAAAGAAGGTGTTTAAATTTTTGATAAGAGTTGAAAGAAACCATAAAGAGTCCAAAAACTTCTGGGTTTAGAAATAGACGTGTTTCTCATACAAAAATCACCCTCAACAAAGACTCTTCAAGTATGAAATGGTTTCAAGAAAAAGATCAAATTCACAATACTGTCAGGAAACTCTTGCCTCTAAAATAAAGATCGCCAGAATCTGGTTATATAATACTTTGTCAGAAATTTAATGACTAGTAAGATTTCTAAGTATTTTAAAGGCATAAATCTTGGGTTAATTCATATGTCTTTTTTTTTAATTTTTTTTTATATTTATTTTTTAATTATCGGCGGACACAACATCTTTGTTTGTATGTGGTGCTGAGGATCGAACCCGGGCCACATGCATGCCAGGCGAGCGCGCTACCGATAACTAATTCATATGTCTTTTAAAAAACAATTAAGGAAATTGTCACATCACAGGCTCACAATTGACCCGCAATAAAGAAAAAATGTGGATGTGACTGCCGTGTACTTCCTTCCTGCTTTTTCAAAAAGGAGTGTGTGTGGCACTTACCCTATGTTTTTTTTCAATTATATTTTGGGGTGTCAGGAACAGCAAGTCAGTGGTTGTTTTCGTCAGCTTTTTTTCACTGTTAAAAGACCTGACAGGAACAGTATTAGGGGAGGAAAAGTTTATTTGAGGTCTCACAGTTTCAAAGGTTTCAGTACACAGACAGGCAGCTTCATTCTTCAGGGCTTGAGTTAAGGCTGAACATCGTGAAGGAAGAGTGTGGTATAAGGAAGCAGCTCACATGATGATCAGGAAGCAGAGAGATTCCACTAGCCAGATACAAAATACAAACCCCTGAGACACATCCCCAGGGACCCACCTCCTCCAGCCACAGCCTACACACCTTCAGGTGAATTAATCCCCTGACAGGACTGAGAATTAATTCACTGATTGGGCTAAGGATCTAACGCCCAGTCATTCCTCCTCTAAACCTTTTAGCATTGTCTCACATATGAACTTTTGGGGTTATCTCACATCCAAACTCTTACAGTAGTGATATGCCTAAAAATACTAGAAGCTTCCACTTCTTGTATCTTGGAACATTTAATCTTTGAAGCCAGTCATTATGCTGTGAGAAATTCCAAGGAACTCCTTGGAAAGTAGTATGTGGAGAGGAATTGAAACTCACAGCATACAGCTTTATTCAATCTCCTAGCCGTAAGTGGTACCATCTTGCTAGCCATGTAAGTGAGCCAACTTGGAAATAGTTCCTAAAACTAGTCAAGAAGTTGACACAATATGGACCAGAGTTAAGCCATCCTCATAAGTTCTCCCCAAATTTATAAGCAAAAATAAATGATTGTTATTTCAAATCACTGAGTTCTAGAGGACATAAGTACTATTGTACTTTCATGTGTTCTGTTTAGTGGGTAGAGGAGTCTCTCTTCATTTGAAGATTTTTATTAGTCATTGATTGCATACTGATCTCTCTCAGGGACACAGATGAAAATGGGATTAGGCAATGTATGAACAGGATAAAATACTTCTCACATTGCTAATAGTCTGGTAGAGGAGATGACATATGGACCTAATAACCTGATTAAGTCAGAGCTCAGTATGACGTCTAAGGAGGCTTAAATTACTATAGTATTTTTAATAAAAATCAGGAAATACATGTACTTCATGAAATTGATAAGAGGGAAGGGAATTTTATGGTAGACTAGGTTATACATTGACTAACAGAAGATGATGGACCTTTCAAATGACAAACTCTGGTTCCTGGGCCAGCACAGGATCAGTCTTCACGAGGGTCCTCCCTTACAACCCTCAGGGAAGGGTGTGATGTCCAGTGTGGAAACCTCAAGTATATTTTATACTATCTTTTTTCACACTTGAAGTGTGGCAGGGGCTGATGGGTCCTTCTATCACTGCTATCTATTTTCCTGAAGGAGTATTATCTTCTGAATTACTATTATAATTTATTTTTAAAGATAATTTGACTCTTCCATATTTCTATTGATAAAAAGAGACTCAGGAGATCCACATACCAAGAGGATTATAGAAAATTAGGATACATAAAAATCAGTAGAAAATTTAAAACCTTATAAATGACAGAATTCTGCAGGGAATTTTCTATATACTAGTATTGAATTCTAGTCTTAGCCACTTTTTATTAAAATCTGTCAAGGCATTGAATGTAAAGTCCATATCTGGAGACTCATAATTATCACAAGTTTCTGCAGTATAGAATTTAATTGTCCTAATTTCTACAATATTCTGTATTCAGAAACCTTAGTTTTTAAAATACACAGTAGCTCGTCCTAAGATTTTTTTAACGAATGTGAAATTAAATTGCACTATTCCAGTTAATTGTCTGCACTATCTTCACCAGGATAATTTCTGTTTAACGCATAGTGATGTTTCAGAAATTTAGTATTGAAGGGATAGTTAAATCCATTAAGGAGATCTAGACAATGGCAGCTGCGATGCCAGTTAATTTCTCTTGTCATCATAATCAATTATAAAATATATAAAATCTGTGACAGGGTATAAATAATCTGTCAAGCTGGTAAAAGAAAATGTTACAACCAAATTATAAATAAAAATGAAGATAAAAGAGTAAAAATAGAATTAAATGGTTTAGATAAGTTTGCTCTGAGAAAAGAATGCTTATGAACTGAATCCCTGAATGATTGTGGAGACTCTGTAAACTCTTTATATTATAATGAGTTTTCCCCCCTCTCTTTATGTGAATGAGGACAATTTTATGTGTGGGGTACATAGTTTTCAACAGATTCTCAAATAATTGCAATATGTGATCTGGAATGGGTAAGGTGATTAATCTATAGCCATACCATTAACTAGGCCAACTATTTGACTCTTTTTACAGACAGTAGCTTTCTGAAATTAATATTTACCAATAAATACAATCATGATAACTTATTCTATAGGAAAAACAGGCAAGAGTGTTACATATTTTTTTAAAAAAGGAGGTTTTTAAGTCTCAGTTTCAATGGAGATGCGAAAGTTGAGGGAAGAAAATGTTTGAATTACTTTATAAAAAATGTTGAGTTAAAAAAATGTCAAATATAGTCTTACAAGGACACTATCAGATTACTTAATGTTTTACCTATTCTCCCACTCCCCTGATGCAGCCAGAGTAGGGAATTACCGTGATATGTATTTCCTAGAGATTAAAAAATGAAACTGAGTCTACCTGAGAAACTTAAATATAGGAGTCTGTGTCTATTGGCCTGAAACGCCAACTCATAGAAAAAGATCTCTGTTCTTCTGCTTGCTATGGGTGTCAGAGATGCTCAGTTCTTAACTCTGGATCATTTTTGAGCAAACTAGCAGAAAAAAAAATCATTCTGGAATCAGTTAAAAAGTAATTTACCCACTAAATTCTCCAGAAGATATGTGACCCAGAAAGGTGGTGAGCTCTCTGAACTAAGAAGAAAATTCATAAACTTTCAGAAGAGGTGGTTTTAACTGTATCACAAGAAATGTGGTATAAGTTTCAAGGAGGAAACTATTCCAGAAACCATGAAACCATTCCACAAGAGGAAGACTCAGTGTGCAATACGAAAGGCCCTGAAAGTACCTGAGGAGCTAAATGAGAAATTTCCTCCTGGCTCCCTCCCTCCCCGGTGGAATTCTTGAGGAACCAGTCACTGCAATAAGAGAGAGAAGTGGTGGCTGTGTGTATGTGTGATCCTGGGGATGGAACACAGGGGTGCTATTGCTAAGGTGAGATTGCAATAAATCACCAACTCGATCTTAAAGCAGGAGACAGAAACTTTATTCACCAGTTGGTGGTCCAGACCCACCAGCTGACGGGCCAAGGGGTCGGCTGCAAGTCTATACTCTTCAACCCCCTCCCTGGCTTTGAATACACCTTTTATAGTCCAAAACCATCTTAAAGCATAAGTGGCTATTGCTATGGGGATTCAAAACCATAAACAAACATCATGAGATCTAAAATCATAAGCAGAAAAGGAAGTGGGCCAAAACGTCCCTAGTTTAGTACAAGTTAAAGAATGTTCACCAACCTCTAGACAATCCATCTCTGACAGGGTACATTGTCCAAGAAAAAATGGGAACTAAAGAGAGAATACTTTTACATTGTGTAAGAATTGCCATTTTGTGTTGCCAAACATGCTATGCTAAGCAACTTGTGACCAGAACTTTTCACCAGAGGTGGGCTTTCCATGGGAGAAGCATTTCTTGCATGATGTGGAATCTCAGGGCAAAATGGAGTCTGTTTGGTCATTGCCCATACAGCCTGGCCCATGACACTATACCTCTAAGCAACATCCCCAGCCCTTCTTCTTTATTTTGTTTTATCTCATTATTTTATTTTGAGACAGAGTCTTGATAAGTTCCTTGGTCTGGCCTCAAACTTGCAATTCTCCTGCCTCCACTTCCAGAGTCGCTGGGATTACAGGCATGTGCCACAATTTGCCAGCTTAGACTTTTAGTTATTACAGTGGACTGGGCATTTACATTTGAGAAGTTTTCTAACATTCCATCTGAGAACTTTAAAAATATTAGCCCACATATCGGATTTAAGGGGATGATGAGAAGCAAACCATCTTATGACATACATCTTAAAGAGTCTTATGACTTCAAGGACCCTGTTACAGGTAGAATATACATGTGATAAAGGAAAACGTCATTTATTAAGAAATCCAAAATATATTAATACTTTATTATTATATTATTATTATCTATGGCTTTAGAGACCCTTTCTGGCCCAGTGCTTTTCTGATAGCAAGTTGAACATCCTTGTTTCTGAGGCTGTATACCATGGGATTTAGTAATGGTGTGACAATGGTGTACGTCACTGTCACCAGCCTGTCCTTGTTGGACACATAGTCTGCTGTGGGCCTCAGGTAGATGAAGGAGGCACAGCCGTAATGAACAATAACGACGGTGAGATGGGAGGCACAGGTGGAGAAGGCTTTCCGTTTGCCCTCAGCTGAAGGAATCCTCATGATAGTCCTCAGAATGCAGAGATAAGAGACACAGATCAAGAAGAAGGGGACCACGAGTACAAGAACCCCACAGATGAATATGACAAACTCATGAACGTCGGTATTGGTGCAAGCCAGGCGAATGACTGGTGAGATGTCACAGAAGTAATGGTTGACTCTGTTGGCACTGCAGAAAGGGAGGCTGAAGACTAAGTTGACCACCGTCAGTGAGGCCAAGAAGCCTCCAATCCCACAAGCGGCTGCCAGTTTCCCGCAGACCTGCCAACTCATAAGGATGGGGTAATGCAAAGGGTGACAGATGGCAGCGTAGCGATCATAACCCATCACGCCTAACAGCAAGCAGTTGGTAATAGCAAAACCGAGGAAGAAGAACATTTGAACGGCACAGCAGGTAAAGGAGATCGTCCGGGCCACAGAAAGGAGATTGATGAGCATTTTGGGTAAAATGACAAAGGTGTAGAAGGTCTCAGATGTGGACAGGATGCCGAGGAAGAAGTACATGGGCGTGTGGAGGCTTTGGTCCAAGCGGATGACACTGATAATGGTGGCGTTGCCACTAAGAATGACTAGATATAAAAAGAGAAAGACCACAAAGAGAGCAAGCTGAATGTCACCAAGGCTTGAAAAACCCAGCAGTAGGAACTCGGCGATCACAGTGAAGTTTTCAGCCACAACCTGCAGCAAAATGAGAAAGAATTAAGATCTATTCAGGAACCTCATGTAAAAATCTAGGGACTGGGTTACTATCAGCTGATTCCACCTGCAAACTTAATCCCTCCATTTAAAATAAAATAACTTATTCTTGGATTCTAGGGAATTGGTCATAGACATCTTTATGGGTGCACAATTTTGCTAACAACTAGCAATAAACAATCCAAGTATAAAACGAAGAGAACAATTTTATTGATAATAACATAAAAAGTATTAAATTTAACAAAAGAAGTGCAAGACAGATACACAGAAATCTACCAAATATCGTTCCTCCTCTCACACTGTAATTTTATATTCTTTGACCAACACTCTTGAGGGAAATTAAAGGTGATTTAAGTAAACAAAAAAATAATAGAGGCAATTCCTACCCAATTAATGAATAGATTCAACATAATTCTTACCAAATCTGAGCAGGCTTTTCTTATAAAGATTACTATAAAATCAACATGGAAGAAACCAGAATAGTCAAAATATTGTCAATAAGGAAAGAAAAGATGAAAGATTGTATATTTTCAGATTTCCATACTTTCTCTAAAGATACAGTGATCAAGATGTTATGGTACTGGCATACAGTTACACATATAGGTCAATGGGCAGAATTGGGAGCCCAGAAATTAAACACTCCAAAAGTTACCAATGGGAAAGTGAAGAGGCACACCAGAGATGATAAGACTCGATTTCCAAAACATGTATCTAATAAGGGATTTGCATCTAATACACATATATAACTCTTATGATTAAGTAATAAGAATAATACCCAGATGAAAAATAACAGACATTTTTACCAAATGGTATCAATGGGTAGGAAATGAGCATTTGAAAAAGCACAAAATATCACCAGTCATTAGGGAAATACAAAGTAAAGGCACAATGGAAAACATGCACCAGAAGAACTGTGACTAAACAGATGAACAAGAAAAGGTGTTTTTGAGGATATAGCAAATAAATGTTCACTCATTGCTGGAGGAAAGGTAAAGTAACACAGTCACACTTAAGAAAAGTTTGGCACTTTGTTAAAATGGTAAAATAAATTATCACATGACCCATCAATTTATTTTTATTACATATTCACAAATTCTAGTTGTGTTGTGTGTATTTATGAGGTTCAAGATGATATTATTTTTAATACAATAGGGAATTACTAAATCAAGGTAGCTAATATGCATCATCTCAAATATTTAAAATTTTGTGATGATATCATTTGAAATGTATTTCCTTAGTAATTTTGAAATGTAGAGTACTCAATTATTAGCTATATTCACCATGCGGTAAAAGAAATCAAAACAAAAACTATCAATAAGAATCTATAAAGGAGAAGTGAAGTCCCTCCAACTAAGCCATTTCTGTGACTGTTCATAGTAGCATAATATATAATAGTAAAAATGAAAGTATCCAGATGTCTGTCAACTTATTAATGAATACACAAAATTTAGTATAACCAAAAAAATGGATACTATTCAGCATTAAAAATAAATTAACTAGTGGAACATACCATAGCATAAATAATCTTTAAAAACATTAAGCTAAGTGAAGGTGCAAAATACCACATTGCAAATTCTATTGTATGAAATGTCCATAAAAGGATAATCTACACAATTGAGAGCAGAAAAATTATAACTTTGGACTTTAGGGATCAGGATTTAACTGCAAGCAGGCAGAAAGGGTTTTGGGGAATGATAAAATAATTTAAAACTGGATTGCAGTGATGATTACCCACCTCTATCAATTTGTAAAATCAAAATGGATTAGTTTTATGAGATATCATGCTATTTTTAAAGGATTATTTGGGGGGATTTTAAAGCTCATTTTGATTATCTAATTTTTGTATATGTGTCTGTTTTAAACTCTAGTTGGAGGTCTTTGGTACATTAGGATTCATTTAAAAGTCACCACAGTTGTCTTTCTTTAGGAATGTTTCTAGAAAAAAAATTACAGATCTTCAAAAATTATTTGTAAAAATAAATGTAAGTTTTTAATTATTTGCACTTTCAATCTGATAACATTTACCATGCTAGTGATGCCTGGATATTTATGTGCAGGATAACTGTTTTCTGAAGTGTCCAAAATTGTTCTATCTCCTTTCTCCTTCACTTTCTTCACCTGTCATTATCCACTTCTAACTATAGATGCTCTGGGACTTCACCTGCTAGAGCAAAACACAATCAATCTGTTCCAGAGTCACTGAATTCTGTTACACAGATTGAATCTGGGGAAACAAACAAACAAACAAACAAACATGGTAATTGGGTCAACAGGACATGAAAAAATCAATGCGAATTGAAGTTAGGGATTTGAACTGACATTTTCTGTAGAAAAAGGGAAGAGAAATAGAAACTAGTTTTAATTTTCTAGCATAAGAAAATAATGATTAATTAGTGAAGAATAATTTTAACCACAGAAAATTCCAATGAGTAAAATTAGCTTATATCAAATTTGCTCTGCTTATTGCACTAATCCTATTCAAGTTCTAACAAGTAGAAATCAACCATCACTTACAGTCCTTTTTAATTGGTTCTGTTTAGCTGTAAATGACAAAAGAATCCATTTGACATGATTATAAAAGCATGGAATATAACATGTTCTAATTCAGTCCCCAGTACCTCCAGTTCACTTCCCTTGCTCAGATCCTGACCTCTCCCTCTGCTCTACTGATCATTCTGCCACTTACCCACAGTTATTGTTAAAATTATTTTTATTCTAAAAAAATAAATAATGTTTTTTTATTTATATATGACAGCAGAATGCATTACAATTCTTATTACATATATAGAGGACAATTTTTCATATCTCTCATTGTATATAAAGTATATTCTCAACAATTTGTGTCTTCATACCTGTACTTTGGATAATATTGATCATCACATTCCACCATCATTAATTATCCCATACTCCCTCCCTTCCCCTCCCACCCCTCTTCCCTATCTAGAGTTCATCTATTCCTCCCGTACTCCCTCTCCCTATCCCACTATAAATCAGCCTCCTTATATCAAAGAAAACATTTGGCATTTGTTTGAGATTAGCTAACTTCACTTAGCTTTACCTGCAAATGCCATTATTTTATTTTCTTTTATTGCTGAGCAATATTCCATTGTGTATATATGCCACATTTTTTTAATTCATTCATCTATTGAAGGGCATCTAGGTTGGTTGATATTTGGCAATTTATAATTCAATCCAGGAGCATTAAGTGATCAACAACAACAAAAAAGACTAATAGTTAAAATTCACAATTAAATTGATAGGTACAACCATCATAAGAAAGATACCATACCAAATGTACAGAAGACACAGGTGTAGTAACTAATGGGTAATACCAATACCCCCCACTGTTAAAAAGAGAGCAAGAGAAAAAAAATAAGACAAAGTATTCAGAAAACCTGAACAGCAAAATCAGTAATGCATTTCTTACAAATATGTATTGAACTTTACTTAAAAAAAAGTATACACTCTGTTCACAAACAACATGGAATATTTGTGATTCTTGACCATTAACTCACAACAGAACCTTCAACCATGACACAAAAGCAGAAATGATACCAACAGTTTCCTAATTTTATACAGTAGACTAATACTGGGTAACAACATAAGAATGTTCTGCCATTAGAGAATTGTAAAATTGTTGGGTCAAAGAGGAGATAATAGGTAAAACAAAATGAGTTGTAGAAAATAATGTCAATTATACTCCATGATTTATAATATAGAGCTAAGTTTAAAGGAGTGATTAGAAGAAAATTTAAACCTTAATTTTTACATAAGCAAAAATTTTAGTGACAGTTTTCAAAATATATCATCTCAATGCCATTTAAACTGTTTCTTACATTCTATAGTAATTCACTCTTTTGGGGGGGCATGGGTACTGGGGATTGAACTCTAGGGCACAAGACCACTGAACTACATCCCCAGCCCTATTTTGAATTTTATTTAGAGACAGGGTCTCACTGAGTTGCTTAGCTTCTCGCTTTCGCTGAGGCTGGCTGTGAACTCATGATCCTCCTGCCTCAGCCTCCCAAGTTGCTGGGATTACAGGCACATGCCACCACCCTTGGCTCACTTTTAATAAACATAAAAAAAATCAAATGTTCAACTCACATAATGCTAAAAATTATTCCATATATTAATAACATACAAAAATGCAAAGGATTTGTAAAAAGTATCACTGAATAGAAAATCCAAAAATCTAAAGGTAAATGTGATGAAATATCATGAGTAGTAAATTAGCAACAATTTGACCATGTGAAATAGGACACTTATTTGCAACAAAAGGACAATCTGCAACCTTAGAAAGCAAACAACCAATGGAAAATTTCCAAAAATATTTCTATAATGTTAACAAGAAATATATTACAAACTGATGGAGAAGATAACTAAGAATCTATAACTAAAACTAGATGTAAGCACACAGCCTATAAAATATGAACTAAAGGCCCCCAACATAAAAATTAATTTCACTTCATTTAAAATCAAATTGAAATCATGTACGACCATCAAATTTCAGCAGTCGTGTGGGTTAAATAAAAAAAATAACTAATAAGATTATAAATTGGTTGTAAATTTATGCAATGAAATTCAGCAAGTTGGATGCAGTGGTCCACACCTGTAATCTAAGGTGCTTTGGAGGCTGAGGATAACCAGTTTAAGGTCATCCTGGGCAATTTAGCAAAGATCTGTCTCAATAAAATAAAATAAAATGGGCTGATGGTTTAGCTCAATGATAGAACACTGCTGTATTCAACCCCTAATACCAAAACAAGGGGGAAAGTGTCATCAAAATATACTGTACTCCTTGAGTATATTCACCCTGTTTGTTTATCCCAGGGATTTATTTCATTTTATAAAATTTACCATACTATAATGAATTTATATAAATGCTGTATTTATTGTAAGAAAACTTGCAAGTCATAACAGGATAAAAGTATTGTGTTTATACTGGATGAAGATTATGAAACCAGAGGCGGGTGACTTTTATTTGGGTCCTTATTCTTCTATTGGGTGACTGTGTGACCTGAGAGCAGTATTAACTTCTCTGATACAACTTTCCCATCTAGAAGGTGGGCTTTCGTGAGCATCAAATGCACAGGCAAAGTGCAGAGAACAGCACCAGCTAAGCAGGGACCATTCTGTGATATAGTATGCTGGTATTTATTTAAAGAACATCTTTTGTGTTCGTGTATGCAGATTTGCACTTGGATGCTAGGTGGTGATTAAGAATTATTTATTACTTTGTCTTGCAAATGGAGCTCTGGATCTGGAATATACAAATCACTGGGTTGAACAACTGAGTCAGCCACATCATATCGGAGGATGAAATTTCTTTATCTCTTCTGGCTCCCTGATACTCATATCTAGTGTTTTTGTCATAAGGGATTCTTATCTACATTCAGAACTATAGAATCTGAACACAATCGGTGTTTCTGAAAAGAAAAAATAAATGTTTCATGACATTCTTTATTTACATTTTTTTTCTTTCCTCATTAATTCTCAAGGCTAAAGGGAGAAATTAGAAGAGAAAAATTAAGGCAGGAAGCTAGAGGTATGTTTTAAATGTCCTCCCTTGTTGACCTGGGAAGGGTGATTGGAGATTTTTATCCAGAGTTATTTGGGCAGCATAGATACAAGAAGGCATGGTGTTGTGGACAAGGAACAGCTGAGAATTGGTTTTGAAACACTTTAGCTGACGTGTGGCAGTCCTAGGAACATTCAAATGTGCATTTAACCAAGCACCTTCTTATTGAATTCTATAATGATCCATGAGAACTTTAGAAGGTTTCAAATTTCATAGCAAAAAAATGAAAAGAAAAAGTCATGCGTGGCAACCCACACTCTTCTCTTCTAGCTGCCAGACTGGATCACTACATTTTAATCCACAGAACTTCATGTAGTTCACTGAGGACTCAGGGAGCCATGTCATGACAGCAATGCCTCTGCCTGTGCTTGGGCAGTTTCTCTGATGGTTCAAATCATTTTCTCCCAAGATTCCTAAGAACTCTTTCAAGTTAACAAAGATGCACTGGGTACACATTAAGCTCTATCTGCTCCATTAGGTGTTTAGAACACGTCAAGCAACAAAACAGAAACTCTGCCTTGCCAAACACATCTTCTACAAACTCTCACATTTTACATTATTCAATAATCTTTTTTGCTCAGCGCTATTTGAACGCTTTTATAAAGCAAAAACTAGGTTGCTATTCATTTGACAAAAGTTTATGTGCAAGTGCCACGTATTCATATATATCTCACTAAGGCCAGCAGAATCAGAGTTTCTGGTAAATAACAAATGTTCAAGTCTATGTGCAAAAAAAAAAAAAAGAAAGAAAGAAAAGAAAAATAAAGAAAGAAATAAACTAATCAGTACAAGAGTAAATCATTGCACTGATATGTAGGCATTTCTCATGTAGAGGGTAAGGATACTTCCAGTGATCAGGGAAGAAAGACAAAGATTTGTATTCTGAAGAAAGCACTACAGATGCAGAAGAAAGACATAAATTCACATTTTTATCTCAGCATTTTCATTTAATCTTCCTGAATCTTAATTTTCTATGCTAAAATTTGAAGGTATGTTGAAAATTAATGGACAGCATATGTAAAAAAAATTACTCCAGAATTATACATAAGAGGTCCTAATTAAATATTTTCTCCCTTCCTTCCTGGCAAAAGTTATAAAAAGGAACACACCTATGACCATCTTGAAGTATGTGTGATGTGTTTTCTTTATCCTAATCTGAAGACCTCTTTCTTGTCACTATCCAGCTATACTTCCTATAGCTGTCCTGCAATCCATCACTATTCTGTTTGTGGACTCTAATTTTAAGGTCTCTACAATTTTAGAACTGAACATAAGTTAAATGGCTTAGCTTGCTATCACCTTTCAGGTCGCATAAGTGCTTCCTTAAGATTTTGGATAATTTACTTTCTTTGAGCCACTTATGACATTTAAAAAAAACACTAAATATCAAAATGAAAGAGTTTCAGAATCCCCAAAACACGGTTCTGGAGAATGCAGTCTTGTTTTTTAATCATGACCCAAGGCCTTCAAGGAAGTATTTTATTAATTTGCTACATTCTCAGTTTATTGCACATCTTCCTCCCTTTCTTTGAAAAGATTTCAAACCAGCAACAAAAGACTCACCACGTCACTCCTCAATGGAGTGGTCATTGTGCTTCTTTGTATGGCCTGGCCAACTACAACTCCAATAACTGTTCTTAATATGCTTTTTTCCTCCCATGGCCATCAGCATTAACATCAATGCCCTACTTCATTATTTTACTACCCAGCACCCTAGGGAGCCATTATTATATTGCTAGTGGCACAAATTCTACCTCCCTTTCCAATTAGGAACTGCAATCCTAGGGGAAAATGGACCTCAAGTCTAGTTTGGCAAATATTCACCATAGAGTAGACTCAGGGAATGAGTTTGTTTCCTGTTTTGAATTCACTGGAGAAGTAACCAACTGTAACTGTATAGTAAGACTGTGGAACACTGTCAGCAGAAAAGTCCTGATAACCTTCTTCCATGGTCTTCTTCCTATAGTTCCTGCATTTTATCTCTTGGTTAAAGACAATAATGCCCTTGCTCTTCTTCTTTCTCCATTTTATTGGTTATAGATAATATTAGGATTCATTTGGACATAATTGTAATAGCATAGAACATCACAGTAAGCAGAGGGAGGGGGGAGAGAAGAATAGAATTTCACTGGATTAGACAAAGAGGAATGAAAGGAAGGGAGGTGGGATGGAAAAAGGAAAGACTGTAGAATGAATTGGACATCACTTTCCTATGTTCATATGTGAATACATGACCAGGGTAACTCCACATCATGTACAACCCCACAAGAATGAGAAGTTACTCTCCATGCAGGTATGACATGTCAAAACACATTCTACTGCCTTTTCCTTTACTGTATAACTGAAAACAACAAATAGAAACATTTAATACATAAATAAATAAAAGCATGAAGTGTAATTTGCATTACTTCAATCTTCACTACTTTGCCTTTCCCTTCATCTCCCCCCACTGTTCCGTTCTCTCAACTCTACTGATTAATGGTAATGGCAATGCACCACTGCTCAAAAGAGATCAAGAGGAAAAATATAACAAAGGCTTAAGGAAAGCTGAACAACAAAATCAGTAAAACATATTTTCTTAGTATGTTTTGAATTTTTTTTAAGAGTATACAATTTTTTTCAAAGAACACTTGTGATTGTGGACTATTAACTCACAACAAAAATTTCACCACATCACAAAATGGAAAGGATACAAACAATACTTCCTAATTTTAATATAATAGATTAATACTAAGTAATAAAATAAGAAGGTTCTGTCACTTAGAGAATTGTAAAATGCCTTTTTGGGTAAAAGAGGAAATGATAAGTAAAATAAAATGAGTTGTAGAAAATAATGTCAGTTATACTCCATTAATTTGTAAGATACAACTAAGTTTAAAGGAATGCTTAGAAGAAAATTTATTACATATATAACATGTAGTAAAATTTTCAAAATATAAACCATCTCAAAGCCATCTAAACCATTTCTGACATACTAGAGTACCTCATTTTAATAAAAGTTTTAAAATCAAATATTCAACTCACATGTTAAAATTATTTTGTTATTAAAATACAATAATTCAAAGAATAAGAAAAGTATCACTGAATAAGAAATCTGAAAACCTAAATTTAAAACTGAAATATTAGTAGTATATAGCAACAATTTGACAGTATTAAGTAGAACATTTATTGGCAACAAACACATAATCAGAAATGTTAGAAAGCAAAGAGCAATTTGAAAAAGTACCAAAAATATTGTTACAATGTTAATTAAAAATATTTTACAAACTGATGGGGAAGATAACTGGCACTCTAAAACTAAAACTGTACATAAGCACACAGTTTGTAAAATATGAACAGAGTGTATCCAACATAAAAATTCATTTCACTTCTTTTAAAATCAAACTGAGGTCATATACACTCATCATATTAGAAGTGATGATTTGAGATAAATCACCAGCAACAAAAATAGTCACTAACAAGATTGTAAATTAGTTGTAAATTTGCACAAAGATATTCAGCAAGCTGGATGCACAGGCATACACCTGTAATCTCATCTGCTTGTGAGACTGAGGCAGGAGGATTCAGTTTGCGGCTATCTAGACAATTTAGGAAGAACCTGTTTCAATATAAAAAACAATACAAAGGGCTGTTAATTTAGCTCCGTGATAGAATGCCACTTGGTTCAATCGTTAACACACACACAAAAAAAAAAAAAAAAAAAAAAAAGAAGAAGAAGAAGAAAAGAAAAGCAAAAGTGGGGGGGAAATGTCATCAAAACATATTGTGCTCCCTGTTATTCAATTTATCCCTTGTTATTTCATTTTTTATAAAATTACCCCACTGTAACAAATTTACACACAAACATGAACTTATAGCAATATAATTTGTAAATCATAACACAAAAGTTTTGGGTTTAAGAGAGGCAGGTGTATTTGCACTGGATGTATTTGCACTAATTTTGTGTGTTAGTCTCTGTGTCCTCTATTCTGTACCATTGGCCAATCAGTCTGTTTTGGTGCCAAAACCATGCTGTTTTTGTTATTATTGCTCTGTAGTGTAGTTTAAGGTCTAGTATAGTTATGCCACCTGCTTCATTCTTCCTGCTAAGGATTGCTTTAGCTATTCTGGGTCTCTTATTTTTTCCAGATGAATTTCATGACTGCTTTTTCTATTTCTATGAGGAGTGTCACACACTTTATTTTCAATATTGTTTGTGTTTCCTCCTCAATCATCAGGGCTGATAGGAGAAAATTAGAAGAGAAAAATTAAGGCAGGAAGCTACCAACATTTTAAAACCTCTTCTTAGGTTGACCTGGGAAGGGCAATTGGAGATTATTTTCCAGAGTTATTTGGGCAGCTGGTACACAAAAAGGAATGGTATTGTGGGCAAAGAACAGCTGAGAAGATGGCAGAGATAGAATAAATAGCAAAGTGGGTGTTGTAAATTTTCAGCTGAGAAGTGGCAGTCCTGGGGACTTAAAATGTACATTTAACCAAGCACCTTCTTACTTATAGTCCAAAAATGATTTCTGAAATCCTTATGATTTCAAATTCTGCAGCAAGAAATGAGGAGAAAAGCAAAGGCTTCCACACCCTTCTCTTCCAGCTACCAGATTGGATCCCTGTGTTTTGATGGATGGAACTTCATGTATTCACTGAGCCCTCAATGAGCCATGTCATGACAGTGATGTCTCTGTCTAGGCAGATCCTCTGATGGTTCAAATCATTTTCCCAAAATCAGGTTCCCAAGAACTCTTTCAAGTTAACAAAGATTCACTGGACACACATTAAGCTTTATCTACTCCATGAGGTGTTCAGAACACGTCAAGAAACAAAACAGAGTCTCTGCCCTCCTGAAGCACATACTTTACAAATGCTCACATTTTGCATTATTCTAGATGTTGATCTTTCTTGCCCAGTGCTATCTGAGCTCTGAAAAGCAAAAGCCAAGTTACTTTTCATTTGACAAATATTTATGTGCAAGTACCATGCATTCATACACATCTCACTTAGTCCAACAGCATCAGACTTCATGCTAACTGGCAAATTCTCAAAGTCTAACTGCAAAAACAAGGACTAAACAAATCAATACATCAGGTATAAATCATTAAACTGATTTTTAGGCATTTCTCATATTGGTGGTAAAGGTACTTCCTGTGACCAGATAAAATATAAAGATGTATATTCTGATGTATATTCTGAAGGAATCACTAGAGATAGAAGAAAAAGGTATAAATTCACATTTTTATTTCAGCATTTTCTTTAGGCAAATAACCTAATCTTTCTGGATCTTAGTTTTCTGTTCTAAAATTTGAGGTATTATGAGGATTAAGAGACAACATAATTTAAAAAAATATTGCCCAAAGTGATACATGAGAGGCCCTAATTAAATATTTTCTTTCAATGAAAATCAAAACTACTTTAAGATTTCATCTCACCTCAGTCAGAATGGCATTTATCAAGAATATAAGCAATAATAAGTGTTGGTGAGGATGTGGGGGGAAAGGCACACTCATACATTGCTGATGGGACAGCAAATTGGTGCAACCAATTTGGAAAACAGTATGGAGATTCCTTGGAAAACTTGAAATAGAACCACCATTTGATCCAGCTATCCCACTCCCTGGTCTATACATAAAAGACTTAAAATCAGCATACTGTAGTTATGCAGTCACATCAATGTTTATAGCAGCTCAATTCACAATAGCTAAACTGTGGAACCAACCTAGTTGCCCTTCAACAGATGAATGAATAAAGAAACTGTGGTATATATACACAATGGAATATTACTCAGCATTAAAAGAGAATAAAATTATGGAATTTTCAGGTAAATCGGTGGAGAATATCATGCTAAGCAAAGTAAGCTAATCTCAAAAAAAACAAAGGCTGAATGTTCTCTCTGATAAGTGGATGCTGATCCATAATGGGAGGATGGTGTGGGTAGATGGAGGAACTTTGGGCAAAGGGGAGGGAGGTCCAAGGAGGGGCCATGGGGGCAGGAAAGATGGTGGAACAAGATGAACATCATTACCCTAAGTACATGTATGACTGCACATGTGGTGTGACACTACATCATGTACAACCAGAGAAATTAAAAGTTGTGCGCCATTTATGTACAATGAATCAAAATGCATTCTGCTGTCATGTGTAACTAATTAGAACAAATTGAAAATGTTTTCTTTCTTCCTTCTCTTATTGTAATATGGATAATAGGGAAGCTCCTGAGACCATTCTGCAGCATCTCCAAAGTTGTTCTTTCTTCTTTACCTGAAGACCTCTTCCTGGGCACTATCCAGCTATTATTCCTGTCACCGCCCTGCATTCCTTCACTCCCCTGTGCCTGAGGGCCCAGTTTTAAGGAAATATCAACAACTTCCATTTGCTAAATGATAAACTATGGAGTAGAGACTTAGGGAATTATTTGGTTTCCTGTTTGGGACCCACTGGAGTGATGACTTACTCTATAGTGAGACTGCTGGTCACTGTCAACAGAAAAGTCCTGGTAATCCTCTCCCTGGCCTTCCTCCTATGGTTCCTGATTTTTATCCTTTGGCTGGAGGCATGATGTTCTCGCTTTTCTACTTCTGAATTCTATCCTGTATTTCAAG